AGAGAGAGAGAGAGAGAGAGAGAGAGAGAGAGAGAGATTATATATATATATATATATATATATATATATATATATATATATATATATATATATATATCTATATATATATATATATATATATATATATATATATATATATATATATATATATATATATATATATATTATATATATATATATATATATATATATATATGGTTAGCTCCTTCAAGTCGAACGTTCCCGGCTACTCTGATCCAGTATCGAAAAGGTCGTGTTTATTCAGTTTCCTCGCCAACAGTAACAAGAAGCATAATCCGAGCTGTTTTTTAGTTTCACTGGTTTGAATATATCATGGAGATGCGTCTCCAAGATATGACTATCGGAGTTGGCACGAAATTTGTGGCGCCTCTCCCACGGAGAAACATCAACTGACACTGGCAGCGCCAACAAATTAGAGTTCAATCATGGCGGGGTAAGCCTGTATTGCACATTTCGATCACATGTCACAACTGACGCCCGATGTCGCAACGTCTGTCGACGGAGCAAGCGTTTCACATGGTGCGCCATTGCGACACATGCCGAGATGACTGTGACTGGGTCATTCAGCAGCCGGTTTGTTGGATTGAGACGGCATTGGTGTCGCTTGCATCCGTATTGCCCAAAATAGTCTGTGAGCTAAAGCTGGTGGCTTTTCCACTGTTGAAGCTGCTTGCACACGGTCCTCTGGCCGTTCCCTGCAAAAGAAATGAGATTAAAACAGAAGCACCTCACTTGGCATGCATTGGTCACTATGCATTTCATGCCATGCCTCGCTATGCGAAGTGCAGAAGAAATGCACCGGGCGGTGGTCCAAGCTGGCAGTTATTAATCGTGCTGAACCATCCGAGCCAGCGAGGGAGAGGTCGCGGCCCAAATACGCAGTTTGATTCAGTCTAACTCAATTTCCAACACATTTTTTACTTTGCACAGTTCTGACTCGAGTTTGTGAAGTAATCCCGTCCAGCGTGATAGTGACGCCTTCAGCCTACCAGAATGCATAGCATGTGAGCTAGCATGACACATAAATTAGGGCGTGCTTCTGTTCCGTTTATCGAAACACGCAAACTTAAATCAATCCAGTCCATCTTTTTCAAACGCGCTCATTCAACGGCTCCCGTTTTTCCGCGTGCTTACCCCCGCAGAGGAGCCGACGGACGTAATCCTGCTGGAGCCACCAAATGTATTGCTGGTGCCACTGGTGACGGTGCCCGAAGCACCTCCAGTGGCCTGACTGTTAGGAATGCAGATGCCTCCGATGCAGAGAGGCTTCGCCCAGGCCACGGAGGCGCAGACCACAAGCAGGAGAGCGACGACCTTCATAGCTGCTGCAACACACAGCACTGGTCAAACCATGAGCAAACTACTACTAGCCTGAAACGATGCTAGTGTTTCCACATGCCCGTTGACGACCGCTTAACTCGCGGGCCCTGCATGAAGTAAGGTAAGGCGGACAAAACACACGCTCATCCGTGACTAGTTGCTGTGGGGCGAGCTACGAGTGCACTGCACCCACTTTTATGAAAACCCACATTTGAAGATATTGAAGCACGCATCAAATAGGATAAAAAGCTCACTTATGACTATTGGAATGCTTTTGTACCCCAGCACAGGCACGCAACAGGAAAATTCTTTGGAGGACCTGTTTTTTATAGCTTAGAACAGTAGAATGTATATTTGTAATTAAATGCAGTCAACTGTGGCCCATACTTACTAAGTTCATTTCACACAGTTTTTCCCTCTTCCCTACACCTCTATCAAATAACAGTTTGATGTGTAATTTTGCTGTTGGAAACTAGTTACGTTTTGGGGTTCTAGGACCTTGGGGTTTTCTGCCACGTTCTCAGCATCAGTCAGGTAGCACGCTGCGTCGAGATCTCAATATCACACTCAAATAATCAGTTGCTGCTCGTTTGACAGCATACCCCGATTTTCGAGCCTACCAAGCCATGCTCAGCAAGCCCGGTAGCATCAATGATGATGACTCCACAAATACCGCATTCCCAGACCTTCCCACAGCACCGGTAGCGAAGTCGGCCTGGGCTGAGTACCTTACCTGTCTGCGTGATTGCACTGCTGCGACTGCTGGTCCTCTTGCGGAGTGCGTCGCTTTTATATGCAGGTGAACCGGTCTGGAGCCGGTTGCACGGACTCCATTTGCACCGGCGCGTGCACGCTACAAGACAACGGCCGACCCTGCGTACTCGGCTGCGAAAATCCCACGGCGGATTCTAGGAGCCCACTGCGGAACGGCTGCAACGAGAATTTGGTAGTCGAGCACGGGGCCTCTTGGCACAGCATCTCGCATGACACCCATCTGTGGAACGATCGCCCAGGGGTACCGTGGTCCATTGGCGAGCCACGGTGCCCACCTCCCTGCTTACTCTGCCCCGTCCGGTGACGGGAATCTGTTCAACGCCGCCTTGTTTGCGATTGGTTCATGATCTTCCCGTAGGAGGGTCTTCATGGGTGGTTCGTCACTCAACTCTGCACCAGCGTTGAGTGTATCCGCGTGGTCTTCATCACCATCACTGCGGATAGCCGCACGCCGTTGTGTTGTCGGCTCTTGTGGCATGACTTTGGAGGTTCCTGCCGGTGCACAGTCAGACAAGCTTATTTGCAATGCGTGCGCAATCTGGAGAAGAGGTTCCGAATACGTTTCGGGTGGTTCTGAAGACTCGCAAGACATACCAAGACAACAGAGAGACTCGCGAGACATACTAAGACAACAGAGAGACTTGCTCGCCTGGTAAGACGCACGGCTCGTTTGCGGTTGAGCGATTCCGCAGCCTGATTTCAGCTGAAATCGCGTCGATGCCTGCCATTTTCTGACTAACTGCAGCTCGAATCTCTTCCTCTGGGCAGACTGGCAACTCCTGGGGTTGCTGTTTAAGCGCTCTTGAAAGTTGACGGACGTTTCTGTTCTCGAGTCCGAGATATCCGTGAAATCGACACAGGAGGTGTCATTGAATAACTGTAAGGGTTCTGTTGTGACCTGCGGCGTCTTCAGCAACCAGCACCGACATTTTTTCACTCGAGGACGAGAGACACCTCTGATGTTGTCCTTTCAGCGAGGGTCGTCCCTCTTGCTTCGCCATTCACCCGAGGGGAGCCACCTCGGGTATACCGCTTTAGGTTTACCGTTTTAGTAGGTTAGCCGCTTACAGACGATTTATGGCTACCTACGTGGTAGTCACGGCGTTTTATGGATCATGAATCCTAAAGTTATCTGAACAGTAAGGACATAAAAAAGCACCAGCGGCGAGCAGCGCTACGCCTATCTTCGAGATCATCACATGTGGGCGGGGCCTGCATCCAACACAAGCCGACTAAAAAAGTATTGTACCACATAGGACCTTAAGCACGAAGGTAAATCAGCGCGATTCCTGCTGCATACTAGACAAGGCCTGGGCCGCGTTCCCCATCACCGACAGTTGTCAACAAGTTGCAGCCTATGACATCAGAGGTACGCGCGTCACAACAGCTCCTGCGGCTTGGAGGATAGTCGCTCATGTATGGCGTGGGTACTTGTGATGTCGTAGGTAGTAACTCAAGAAAATACTTTGCCGGTGAGGAACGCGGCTCTGGTGTAACACGCACATACCGCGGGACGGTATTTTATTGCGTTGCAAAAGACCGGTTGGGTCTTATGCAACGTTACTAACAGGGTCGAGTAAATTACAATTCAAATCACCCATGATGACGATCGGTCCAGGGTGCCGTAGGCGCACTCGCTAATATTGCAGCTCCAGTTCGCTGAAGTCCGCCTGGAGGGCAGCCACGGCGCGGAGCTGGGGCTGATAGACGGCAGCCACAGTGAAATGCAGGCCGGACTCCGATGTCACTCGCAGTGAGAGGGACTCCAGCCGACAGTCCGGACACTCAGATGCCGCCTGGGTGACGGCAATGACTTGGTAGCAGTCCCGGCTCAAGATCGCCACACCCCGACAGCCGACCTCTCCTGGCCGGTCTGCACGGTGCAGCGCCTAGCCGGGGACTGTGGCCAGCCCGGACGCAGTGGCGGATCGAAGCCACGTCTCGGTGATCACGCAAAAGTCGTGAGGCATCCAGTCTGGATGGTTATGCTGCAGTGGATTTATCATCGGCAGCAGGGACTGGATGTTGATCAGTCCCGCCAGTAGGTTCTGACGACGACCGTCCGGAGAAGAGCGCTGTCACGCCTGGCCGCCCCTGCAGCCCCGGCGCCTGGTGCCGGCACCGCGCCTGCCTCGCCGAGCAGCGCGAGCGACCACAGGGCATGGTCGTGATCAAGGTCATCGCGGCCGAGGTGCGGGACGAGGTCGCCTCGAGACCGATGAGCTGGAGATGGGCCAGCATGTCGACAGGGCCGATGAGCTGGAGATGGACCAGCATGTCGACAGGGCCGACGAGCTGGAGGTTCGCTGCAGGACAACGTCGCTGACGATGGTGTGGTCCCGGGTCGGGAAGGTGGCTATGATGCTGGCCCGGGTCGGGGAGGTGGCTGTGATGCTGGCCCGGGTCGGGAAGGTGGCTGTGATGCTGGCCCGGGTCGGGGAGGTGGCTGTGATGCTGGCCCGGGTCGGGAAGGTGGCTGTGATGCTGGCCCGGGTCGGGAAGGTGGCTGTGATGCTGGCCCTGGTCGGGAAGGTGGCTGTGATGCTGGCCCGGGTCGGAGAGGTGGCTGTGATGCTGGCCTCGCAAACGTTACGAGCAGGAACGCAACACCAGCAGCACCACATGGCTGGCAAGATCACCGTACATCTTTGCCGCGGCGGAGGCGAACTGTTTCGTCGAGCCGACTGTTTTGTCGAGTAGACAGTTCCGTCGAGTAGACACTTTCGTCGTCGGACTAGCACGGAATTCACGTGACAGTTCGTCACGCAGGTGATCACTCTCCCGCACAGACAGTGTCACTGGCATACACGCGGGGCGAGGCACAGCGCGGTGAGGCAGGAAGCTTTAGGCAACGCACCCGACCGGCAGCGCGGCGCGCGAAGAACGTCGTCGCTATTTCAAACGCTGGGACTGTCGGATGTACTGGCACAGGGGCACAGGCACTGGCGTAGGAGCGGCCGGGTGTCCAGCACAGGAGCGGCCGAGTGTCCAGCACAGGAGCGGCCGAGTGTCCAGCACAGGAGCGGCCGAGTGTCCAGCACAGGAGCGGCCGGGTGTCCAGCACAGGAGCGGCCGAGTGTCCAGCACAGGAGCGGCCGGGTGTCCGGTACAGGAGCGGCCGAGTGTCCAGCACAGGAGCGGCCGGGTGTCCGGTACAGGAGCGGCCGAATGTCCAGCACAGGAGCGGCCGGGTGTCCGGTACAGGAGCGGCCGAGTGTCCAGCACAGGAGCGGCCGAGTGTCCGGTGCAAGAGCGGCCGAGTGTCCGGTACAGGAGCGGCTGAGTGTCCGGTACAGGAACGGCCGGGTGTCCAGCACAGGAGCGGCCGAGTGTCCGGTACAGGAGCGGCCGGGTGTCCGGTACAGGAGCGGCCGAGTGTCCGGTACAGGAGCGGCCGAGTGTCCAGCACAGGAGCGGCCGGGTGTCCGGTACAGGAGCGGCCGTCCGGCACAGGAAAGGCCGCGTGCGGGCACAGGAGCAGCCCAGCACTAGGGTGGCCATGCTTTCCGCACTGGAGTGATTACGGAACAAGAGACGACGCGTGTCTGACACAGAAGCGGCCGTCCAGCACTAGGGTGGGCGCCCGCTCGACCTTGAGAACGGCAGAGGTTAGAAAGGCCGACGCCCGGCTGCGGAGCCTCGCCCTGATTCGCCGCTTTGTCATAGTGAGAACTGAGGAGGGGAAGGCGATGGGGATCAGGGGGGGGGGGGGGGCTCGATCCAACCCCCTCTACCGTTTACAAACTAGGATGGGTTGTCGCAGAAGAAAAGGTGAATGGACCTCAACATCTTTTAATTTGCAACAAGTCGCATGTTGCTAGGTCGATAACTGACGCTTGTAAGCCAGGTAAAATAAGCACTTTCCTGGCATCAAATTTTTGAGCTAATCGTGCCCTTCTCATGAAACCAAAGCCCGCAGCGCGACGGAATTTAAACAGCCGTGTTTCTGAACCTATTTATAATAAAGGGATCCATTAAGACACCAGTGTCGGCTTGCCGCGCGGGCCCCGGGCATCGCCAGTCGCCGCCGCCGCCCGGCCAGCCGCGGCTCGCCGTGCAGTGTTCCTGAAAGACAGTAGCTACGCATAAAGCAGAACCACTAGGGACACGTCAAGACACGTGCAATTAATGATTATTAATTAAATTAATGCCCGGAATATACCGGAAGCTCCGACATGATTGTACGAAGTGCCGGAGGGGTAGCCTCCGAAAACTTAAGAGCCACTTAAGGCCGCGTGCAAAGGAGAGCGTTATTTTGCAGCGCTGGAAGTTGTGCAGTCTGCCACCCTCGGACCTCAAGCGTGTCTACGAGACCCGCCTCATTGCGGATCTGCGTCGGGTCGGGATGAGCAGTTGTTGCAGACGTGCTTTGCGGTCAGATTCTTATCCAGTCAGCTATAATGCAGAGGGTGATGCACGCGTTGCATAATAACCCGACTCTGCACTGGGGAATGGGTGACGCCAGTTTCAATCAAGGGAACGAAACGGCGAGCTGGCAAACCAAGTGGCAGGTTAAGACAAGGTCACCAGTCTTGACGACCCACCCAGGACGTGGGTGGTATTGGGTGCAGCGCTGTTGATCCGGCCCGCGGTCGCGGCTACATGCAACCAAATAACACAACCGAGGGAGGCCTGACCCACCAAGGTTCATCATCGTCTCTCAACAGTGAATGAATGAAATTCAAATATGTGAACACATATTCTAAGACGTTCCCAGCCCTTGACAGATATGCCACTCCACAGTAGATCTACCCTGGAAACAATTCACAACGGATCCACGTCCATGCAGCATCCTAAGGATTTATCAAACCATCGCGCAGCATAGCGTGTTGTGCATCTGTTGACACCAATATGGCATGGCTTTTGCTCTAAATGATTCTGATAATGTTAGGAAGTGTGAATTCTGCACCGGCAATGCTTAAAGGAAGATGAGGTAGGTCGCCTGCGCGCTCGGTTGATTGCTGGATGACGTCACAAACCAATGGTGATATTGTTGTCAGGTGCTTGTAAAACCAAGCTGTCCATAAATGCAGAGCTGCAGGGAGAAATTTTTGCAAAATACGTGGGGATGAAGAACTGAGGGTGGGGGAGGCACAATACAAAATTACTCAGCATGCTTCCAAAAATAGACCCAAAACAGTTTTCTCCACACATCTCGCGCGCTTTTTTACATTTGGGAGGAGTGTAGTTTCTGGAAATTGTTTTTGTGGGCTAAGTCCCAAATATGATAAGGAATGAAAAACAATGTTTCAAATGATTAATGACAAGAATAAACAACATGCATGATCAGGAGGCACAATTCACTCCCTTTACCTGAATAGGAAACTACATTCCTTCAAGCTGGTTATGTTCAGCATGCCTTTTTTGACAATTGTATTATGTAACTCTTAGCCGTCATTCAGAGCTTACAGGCCAGCAGTATTTACGTAGGTGTAAAAATACTACCGAACCAAAATTTTTGACGGTTACGCCGCATTGTATCACGTTTGTCTTTGTATTGTGATTTATTGCATTCAGAGTTATATGGGAACGGCTTCTGACAGATTCGGCTTAAGCTGACAATTAGACGGTTTCATATTTGTTCGGTGACGGAAAAGGCACGTTTGTCACCCGTGCGCGTGAGAGCGACTTTCATCACCCCGGTGTGTCAATGCCTCCGTCTCCTGGGCTGCTCGCTCGTGTGCTCGAGTGTCAGCTTTTTGAGATATGTAAGATGAAACTTTCGGGGCGAACATAATACAGAGTTCAACGTGGGAACATAGGCTCAACGTTTTGGTGACGTGTCCCTCCATTGAACGCTGAGCTACCTTTCTTGGATTGTTGAAAGCCGTTCCACACGTTTTTTAACAAATGGTTTGATAGTTTTGAAATCAATGTTTTTAGCTGTGGTGGATGGTGTCTGAAGTTATTTGAACGATAAGGTCCAAAGCTTACAACAGTATTCCTTGCACTTCATTTCTACTTTTTAGCAGCGTGTGATATACATCTAATTAGTGTTGATGGTTTTTGTAATCTCAAAGCATTTACCCGCGCTTTCAGAGCGCCAGCCATTACAGTACGCTTGTTTAGAGCTGTCAGAACATGGTTGGGAGCGAAATGCCAACCGTAATGGTGCGTTATACAACATGAACATTGGTAATTACTCAGCCTTTGATCGTATATAATGCGGTTGTCTCCTCCAAGTCCAACGTTCCCGTCCACTCGCATCGAGTATTGAAAATTGGCCTAGCCAAGTACTCGGCGTCAGCTATGAGCTATGACATGATCTCCATAGTTCTTTGGTCCTGAAAGTGGAATCGAATACGTGATCAAGATGCTAAGATGCTACCTAAGATAATCGAATACATGTTAAGATAATCGAATACGTGATCAAGATGCTAGAAGATACTACCCAAATATATGAGTGACTTAAATTCTATCGGCATTTGCTCGGCGTTGAATGTCGTGCATCCTGCGGTACGTTTTCCACGGAAAATATTAACTTTAACTGGCGCTGGCAGCACCAACACATTGGAGATCAGTCATGTCGGGGATAAGCCTGTATTGCACATTTCGATCACATGTCACAACCGACGCCGATATCACAACGTTCGTGGATGTAACAGGCGCTTCATGTGTGCCATTGCGGCGCATGCCGAGATGACTGTGGCTGAGTCATTCAGCAGCCGGTTTGTTGGATTGAGACGGCATCCGTGTTGGCTTCATCGGTATTGCCAACGATAGTCTGTGAGCTAAATTTATTGGCTGCTGCCGTATTGAAGCTGCTTGCACATGGTCCTCTGGCCGTTCCCTGCAAAAAAAGAGATCCAAGCAATAGTACCAATATGTTAGTACCAGTAGTAGTACGTTTGTGCCATGCACTGGTTAGACACGCCTGGCGGTGGTGCAAGCTTGCAGTGATTACTCATGTTTTACCACCCGAGGCAGCGAGGTAAATGGTCCTGCCAAATGTGCGCAGCTTGCTTTAGTCTTACTCGATTACTAAAGCATGTTTACGTTGCACTACTGTGACGTGAGATTCCGAAGTAATCGAGTCCAACGTAATGCTCATGCATGCAGTGTATCAGAACGCATGTTATGTTTGCTAGCTTGACTAAATAAACTAAGGCGGGGTTTTAATCTAGTTACCGGAACGGTAACACTCAGTCCATCAATTCAGCCCATCTTTGCCAGACGTGCTCGTTTGACGGCTCAGTTTTTGCGCGTTCTTACCCCTGCAGAGGCGACGACGGACGAAACCTTAGTGACACCACCAGGGCCAATGCTTGTACCACTGGTGACCTCGCCCGAGGCACCCCCAGCAGCTTCGCTGGTAGGAATGCAGATGCCGCCTATGCAGAGAGGCTTCGCCCAGCCCACGGAGACGCAGACCACAAGGAGGAGAGCGACGACCTTCATGGCTGTCGCAACACAAATCACTGGTCAAACCACGAACAAACTGCTGCTAACCTGAAGCGATGACGGTGCTTTCACATGCCCGTTGGCGACCATTTAGCTCGCGGGCTCTAGAACATGAAATAGGGCAATGCTGGTAAAGCGCATCCTCATCCGTGGCTAGTTACTTTTAGGAAGACTACGAGCACCCACTCCTATAAAACGAAATGTTCCACATTTAAATATATTGAGACGAGCATAATATGGAGAAAAATGCTCAGAACTATTGATATACTTTTCGGTGGGCCCATGCGGTCCAAAACAAGTAAGTTTTAAGGGGCATATTTGTCAATAAATTTGACCTGTAGTTGCCAAGCTCATTTCAGACAATTGTCTCCCCACCGCCCTCTTTGGAGTAACCGCTCAAGTAGTAGTTTTTCTCCTGGAAACTAGTCACGTTTTGAAGCTGTCAGGAACTTCGAGTTTAACTTTTCACCGTCCGGCAGGTTGCAAACCACTTTGAATCTGAGCGTCTCATCCAACTAGCAAATTGCTGTTTGACATTCTGACCAAATGTCCGTCTTCTGCCGCCCTTGCTCGGCAAGCTCGTTCCCACCACTAATGATGACACCCCAAACTACCGTATTTCCAGTCCTTCCCACAGTACCGGTAGCCAAGCCGGTCTGGGCTGAGGCACCTTACCTGGCTGAGTGATTGCACTGCTGCGACTGCTCGTCCCTCTTCGGTGTGCGCCGGATTTAAATACAGGCGAGCCGGTCTAGAGCCGGTGCAAGCACGTGCACAATGTCGGGTGGCGACCGAGTCTGCACGCCTTTTTGTGGAAAATTTTGCGGTGGATTCCAGGAGCTCACTGAGGAACTGCTGGTCGTTCTGCAGCCAGCTCTTGTGGCAGGACTTTCCAAGTACCTGGCAGTGCACCGCCAGGCGAGGTTATTTGCGATGCACTCGCAATATAGGGAAGTGGTTTCTGATGGTGTTGGGAAGTTCCCGAGATTTTGCAAGGCACACCAAAACAACAGAGATAGTTGTACGCCTGGTAGCACACAAACTTTGTCTACGGCTGAGCGGTTTCCCAGCCTGAATTCAGTTGGAAACGTGTCGATGCTCGTCATCGTCTATGTGCGGCTTGGATTGCTTTCTCAGGGCAGGTTTACATCTACTGAGGCTCATCCTGTTTACATAGATGAGCATTTCACCACATATGTACAAAGCCTACGAACGTTTTATGGCTAACCACTTGTTTCTCACGACGGTCAGATTTATAAAAGATTTGACTTCTTGGTGACGTAATTCTGAACATTGGAATTCAAATGTTTCGATGCGATGAACATGAAAAACTAAAAGCGTTTAAGTGATTGGAAAAGCTGACTCTGGATACATTTTTCACCCAGAGACATAAACTACTCGCCATCCGTGAGATCGTGCTGATACCACTTTGAAAACACGAACTGATTCAAATTCGATATGTGTTTTCTGCCGGGCTCTTTCTATATTAATTTCGAAACGTCATAGTGAGGGATCGCATCGCATGTAAGTTTAATGCCGTTACCCTGACACCAAACCGCAACGTCATTTGATGAAAGCATAGGCAGGAATTGCGCGAACATACATAAAGCCTGAACACACCCCATGTTCAAGATCTGACATCAACGGCATGGTACTCACTGGCAAGTGTGGTAAAACCTGCCAACTTGGTGTATAGGATCGGCGACAAAAATGTTTATACTGACCCAAAGCTTGGTGCCAAACACTTTTCGGACAGCAAGTTTTTGGTGACAGCCACAACGAAATGGTATAGCACACTCTGCAAAACATAACAGGACATCGCCATGTTATGCCTCGATAGAAAGGCGTTTTGTCAGATGCCAGCAAACGTTTCCGTAGACTATTTACCATACTCTACGACACCATGGTATCTCTTTTAGATTTTATTACAACCCGGCGACAGAACTATTCTGTGATTTTATTTGGTCCGCCAGCTCGGGGACAGGTCGGCGAAAAATCAATATATTTTGTATGGGCCGGTCGGTCGGCCGATTCGCTGTTTGTAAAATTGTGCCCCATTATTTCATCGTTTGATAGCGTCATGGAATCACGTTCTCACGACAGCCATATCTGGCAGCATCTGACAACCAGATCTAAAGCATGCCTCAAATGTGGTGCGGCTAGATTCTTTAAATTTCCACTGGACTCAGGAACACTTAAATGGCTTTATGCAATTATCAAAACAGGTGATGTCACTGGGAAGATTTGACAATGGCTCAAATCTTGCTCACTATTGACGTTTTTTTCCAGCGATACTCGTAAATAGCGTATCTGCGTACCTACGGGGAATGTGTAAGGAGCCTTTGTATTTTTCTCTTACCAGGCTGCTGAAACATTCACAAATAGCGGCTAACGAGTTAGTCAGGTAAGCATAAGTTATTATCTTATAGTGACAGCAAACTATTTGTATTATCAGAAGATGACCGAATTTGCATTATGGACAGAACTGTTGAAGTAGACCTGTGTGACCAGTGCTTCCAATGTTCAATTTGGTGTGTCAGATGGTTCGTGTCAGTTTCACTGTGACAACGATTTTGTAGGAATAAGACCACTGTTTCCGTCTGTGTAACTACTGGTTCAAAGGAGTAGGTACCTCCAATGTCCAGCTGCCGTTATGTTGGCCACGTTGGCGACAGGTGCCTCACAACCTGAAAGTGGTCACGCTTACGTTCGCGACATGCATTCAGGAGCGAAGTCACTTTCCACGGGTTGTATCATACGTGCCACATCATCGCTATTGCCAATGTATCAGCGGCCATGCTGTTTGAACATAAGCAGAAAACAGCCCGTAATATAACGGCAGTCGTATGAGGTTTCTTTAGCGACATCAATGCCAAGGTGGCTGAAGTAGTCTCCCAATAAACCTTTTAGGACCTTTGCGGACGTATATCTCATGCACCAGGGAGTTTTGAGTATTAAAATGGGCATGGCTGTGAACTGCATCAAAAGGTCTTCAATATGGCTATTTCAGTTGAGATCCCTATAGGAAAGTGCGACATTCCCTTTAAGTTTCAACAAACTTAGATGACTTGTAATATGGCAATTTTGTGGGTTGCTTTCATTTTCGCAATTTTTGGTTCTCCTGGTTTTTCCCCGAGGAGTAAGGCTGCTACTACTATCTTAATTAGGTTAGGTTAGACTAAGTTAGGCTAGGTTAGGTTAGGTTAGGATAGGTTGGGTTAGGTTAGGTTAGGTTAGGTTAGGCTAGGTTAGGTTAGGTTAGGTTAGGTTAGGTTAGGTTAGGTTAGGTTAGGTTAGATTGGTTTAGGTGCGTTACGTCACGTTATGTTAGTTAGGTTAGATCGTTACGTCGTATCGAGTCGCAGGCTTGCGCCGGGTCGTTGCCTAACATCATAAGGCTTGTATGTTCACCAATAGGCTCCTCACTACTACAGTGGTCATCTTACGTCGAGTTCAAATTGGATGGCGTCTCACACTAACATGACGCTTTTGTGCCCGGATGCAGGGCTTAAAAATCTTCTCATTCACCGGATATGATCGCTGACAAAAGCTGACAGACACTTTTGCGAGCCAATTGGTAGCAACTTTGCAAAAATACAAGCAGATTTCAGTAGACCAGACAATGTTACAAGTTCCTATCCCAGCTGAACGAAACCCAAAGCTCATTATTGGTCTGTGCCCGTTAACAATTGCAGCGTGAGCAGCGTGAGCCTCTCACATTACTTGTAGCACGTCAGGCTTAGCGTACTGATCGGTGCACAGACGTTAGATGAAACGCTCTTATGTTCATGACATTGCATATAAAGATGAATGAAGGTGGCGGAGGTGTTAAGAAATGTCGTTCGCACCAATTGACACCAATTTTGCACGGGTTTTGGTCTAAATGATTCGGATCATTTTATGAAGTTTGAATTCTGCACCGGTAGTGCTTAAACGAAGATAAGGTAGGTTGCCTGCGTGCTGAGTTGATTGCTGGATGACGTCACAAACCAAGGGTGATATTGTTGTTAGGTGCTTGTAGAACCAAACTGTCGGTAAATGCAGAGCTGCAGGGATGAATTTTTGCAAAATACGTGGGGATGAAGGACGGAGGATGGGGGAGGCACAAGACAAAATTGCTCAGCATGCTTCCAAAAATACACTGAAAACAGTTTTATCCGCACATCTCACGCGCTTTTTTCCATTCGGGATGTGGAGTGTAGTGTCTTCAAATTGCTTTTGTGGGCTAAGTCCTAAATATGATGAGGAATGAAAAACAAGGTTTCAAATGATTAATAACAAGAAGAAACAACATGCATGATCAGGAGGCACAATTCACTCCCTCCAGCTGAATAAGAAACTACACTCCTTCAAGCTGGTTATGTTCAGCATGCCTTTTTTGACAAGTGTTTTATGTAACTCTTAGCCGTCATTCAGTGCTTGAAGGCCAGCAGATTTTACGTAAGTGCAAATAAAGCACCGAAACGAATATGGTTGATGAGTATGCCGCATTGCATTACGTTTGTCTGTATTGTGATTTATTGCATTTAGAGTTCTGTAGCAACGGTTTCTGACAGGTTCGGCTGCAGGTGACAATTAGACGGTTTGAAATTTGTTCGGTGGCGGAAAAGGCACTTTTGTCACCCGTGCGCGAGAGAGCGACTTTCATCACCCCGGTGTGTCAATGCCTCCGTCCCCTGGGCTGCTCGCTCGTGTGCTCGAGTGTCAGCTTTTTGAGATATGTAAGATGAAACTTTCGGGGCGAACATTATACAGAGCTCAACGTGAGACCATAGGCTCAACGTTTTGGTGACTTGTCCCTCCATTGAACGCTGAGCTACCTTTCTTGGATTGTTGAAAGCCGTTCCACGCGTTTTTTAACAAATGGTTTGATAGTTTTGACATCAATGTTTTTAGGTGTGGTGGATGGTGTCTGAAGTTATTTGAACGATAAGATCCAAAGCTTACAACAGTATTCCTTGCACTTCATTTCTACTTTTTAGCAGCGTGTGATATACATCTAATTAGTGTTTGTGGTTTTTGTAATCTCAAGGCATTTACCCGCGCTTTCAGAGCGCCAGCCATTACAGTACGCTTGTTTAGAGCTGTCAGAACATGGTTGGGAGCGAGATGCCAACCGTAATGGTGCGTTATACAACATGAACATCGGTAATCACCCAGCCTTTGATCGTATATAATGCGGTTGTCTCCTCCAAGTCCAACGTTCCCGTCTACTCGCATCGAGTATTGAAAATTGGCCTAGCCAAGTACTCGGCGTCAGCTATGAGCTATGACATGATCTCCATAGTTCTTTGGTCCTGAAAGTGGAATCGAATACGTGATCAAGATGCTAAGATGCTACCTAAGATAATCGAATACGTGTTAAGATAATAGAATACGTGATCAAGATGATAGAAGATGCTACCCAAATATATGAGTGACTTAAATTCTATCGGCATTTGCACGGCAGTAAATGTCGTGCATCCTGCGGTACGTTTTCCACGGAGATATATTAACTTTAACTGGCGCAGGCAGCACCAACACATTCGAGATCAGTCATGTCGGGATAAGCCTGTATTGCACATTTCGATCACATGTCACAACCGACGCCGATATCACAACGTTCGTGGATGTAACAGGCGCTTCATGCGTGCCATTGCGGCGCATGCCGAGATGACTGTGGCTGAGTCATTCAGCAGTCGGTTTCTTGGATTGAGACGGCATCCGTGTTGGCGTCATCCGTATTGCCAAAGATGGTCTGTGAGCTAAACTTATTGGCTTTTCCGATATTGAAGCTGGATGCACATGGTCCTCTGGCCGTTCCCTGCAAAAAAAGACATTCAAACAAGAGCACCACACGTTTGTGCCATGCACTGGCTGTGCATTGCACGCTTGCCACGCTGTTCCGAGCGAAGGAGAAAGACACGCCTGGCGGTGGTGCAAGGTTGCACTGAATACTCATGTTTTACCACACGAGGCAGCGAGGTAAATGGTCCTGCCAAATGTGCGCAGCTTGCTTTGATCTTACTCAATTACCAAAGCATGTTTACGTTGCACTACTGTGACGCGAGATTCCGAAGCAATCTAGTCGAACGTAACGCTCATGCATGCAGGCTGTGAGAACGCATGTTATGTTTGCCAGCCTGGCTAAGTAAACCAAGGCGGGGTTTTAATCTAGTTACCGGAACACAAAGACTCAGTCCATCAATTCAGCCCATCTTTGCCAGACGTGCTCGTTTGACGGCTCAGTTTTTGCGCGTTCTTACCCCTGCAGAGGCGCCGACGGACGAAACCTTAGTGACACCACCAGGGCCAATGTTTGTACCACTGGTGACCTCGCCCGAGGCACCCCCAGCAGCTTCGCTGGTAGGAATGCAGATGCCGCCGAAGCAGAGAGGCTTCGCCCAGCCCACGGAGACGCAGACCACAAGGAGGAGAGCGACGACCTTCATGGCTGTCGCAACACAAATCACTGGTCAAACCACGAACAAACTGCTGCTAACCTGAAGCGATGACGGTGCTTTCACATGCCCGTTGGCGACCATTTAGCTCGCGGGCTCTAGGACATGAAATAGGGCAATGCTGGGAAAGCGCATCCTCATCCGTGGCTAGTTACTTTTAGGAAGACTACGAGCACCCACTCCTATAAAACGAAATGTTCCACATTTAAATATATTGAGGCGAGCATAATATGGAGAAAAATGCTCAGAACTATTGATATACTTTTCGGTGGGCCCATGCGGTCCAAAACAAGTAAGTTTTAAGAGGCATATTTGTCAATAAATTTGACCTGTAGTTGCCAAGCTTATTTCAGACAATTGTTTCCCCACCGCCCTCTTTGGAGTAACCGCTCAAGTAGTAGTTTTTCTCCTGGAAACTAGTCACGTTTTGAAGCTGTCAGGAACTTCGAGTTTAACTTTTCACCGTCCGGCAGGTTGCAAACCACTTTGAATCTGAGCGTCTCATCCAACTAGCAAATTGCTGTTTGACATTCTGACCAAATGTCCGTCTTCTGCCGCCCTTGCTCGGCAAGCTCGTTCCCACCACTAATGATGACACCCCAAACTACCGTATTTCCAGTCCTTCCCACAGTACCGGTAGCCAAGCCGGTCTGGGCTGAAGCACCTTACCTGGCTGAGTGACTGCACTGCTGCGACTGCTCGTCCCTCTTCGGTGTGCACCGGATTTATATACAGGCGAGCCGGTCTAGAGCCGGTGCAAGCACGTGCACAATGTCGGGTGGCGACCGAGTCGGCACGCCTTTCTGTGGAAAATTTTGCGGTGGATTCCAGGAGCTCACTGAGGAACTGCTGGTCGTTCTGCAGCCAGCTCTTGTGGCAGGACTTTCCAAGTACCTGGCAGTGCACCGTCAGGCGAGGTTATTTGCGATGCACTCGCAATATAGGGAAGTGGTTTCTGATGGTTTTGGGAAGTTCCCGAGATTTTGCAAGGCCCACCAAAACAACAGAGATAGTTGTACGCCTGGTAGCACACAAACTTTGTCTACGGCTGAGCGGTTTCCCAGCCTGAATTCAGTTGGAAACGTGTCGATGCTCGTCATCGTCTATGTGCGGCTTGGATTGCTTTCTCAGGGCAGGTTTACATCTACTGAGGCTCATCCTGTTTACATAGATGAGCATTTCACCACATATGTACAAAGCCTACAAACGTTTTATGGCTAACCACGTGTTTCTCACGACGGTCAGATTTATAAAAGATTTGACTTCTTGGTGACGTAATTCTGAACATTGGAATTCAAATGTTTCGATGCGATGAACATGAAAAACTAAAAGCGTTTAAGTGATTGGAAAAGCTGACTCTGGATACATTTTTCACCCAGAGACATAAACTACTCGCCATCCGTGAGATCGTGCCGATACCACTTTGAAAACACGAACTGATTCAAATTCGATATGTGTTTTCTGCCGGGCTCTTTCTATATTAATTTCGAAACGTCATAGTGCGGGATCGCATCGCATGTAAGTTTAATGCAAATGTAAGTTACCCTGACACCAAACCGCAGCGTCATTTGATGAAAGCATAGGCGGGAATCGTCCGAACATACACAAAGCCTGAACACACCCCATGTTCAAGATCTGACATCAACGGCATGGCACTCACTGGCAAGTGCGGTAAAACCTGCCAACTTGCTGTATAGGATCGGCGGCAACGGTATTTATACAGACACAAAGCTTGGTGCCAAACACTTCTCGGACAGCAAGTTTTGGTGCCAGCCGAAACGAAATAGTATAGCACAGTCTGCAAAACATAACAGGACATTGCCATGTTATGCCTCGATAGAAAAGCGTGTTGTCAGATACCAGCAAACGTTTCCGTAGACTGTTTACCGTACTCTACGACACCAGGGTATCTCTTTTAGATTTTATTATAACCCGGCGACAAAACCATTCTGTGATTTTATTTGGTCCGCCGGCTTGGGGACAGGTCGGCGAAAAATGAATATATTTTGTATGAGCCGGCCGGTCGGCCGATTCGCTGTTGGTAAAAATTGCGCCCCATTATTTCATCGTTTGATAGCTTCATGGAATCATGTTCTTACGACAGCCATATCTGGCAGCATCTGACAGCCAGATCTAAAGCATGCCTCAAATGTGGCGCGGCTAGATTCTTCCAATTTCCACTGGACTCAAGAACACTTAAATGGCTTTATACAATTATCAAAACAGGTGATATCGCTGGGAAGATTTGACAATGGCTCACATCTGGCTCACTATTGACGTTTTTCCAGCGATGCTCGTCGTCAATAGCGTATTTGCGTACCTACGGGGAATGTGTAAGGAGCCTTCGCATTTTTTTCTTACCAGGCTGCTGAAACATTCACAAATAGCGGCTAACGAGTTAGTCAGATAAGCATAAGTTATTTTCTTATAGTAACAGCAAACTATTTGTATTATCAGAAGATGACTGAATTTGCATTATGGACAGAACTGTTGAAGTAGGCCTGTGTGACCAGTGCTTTGAATGTTCAGTTTGGTATGTCAGATGGTTTGTGTCAGTTTCACTGTGACAACGATTTTGTAGGAATAAGACCACTGTTTCCGTCTGTGTAACTACTGGTTCAAAGGAGTAGGTACCTCCAATTTCCAGCTGCCGTTATGTTGGCCACGTTGGCGACAGGTGCCTCACAACCTGAAAGTGGTCACGCTTACGTTTGCGACATGCATTCAGGGGCGAAATCACTTTCCACGGGTTGTATCATACGTGCCACATCATCGCTATTGCCAATGTATCAGCGGCCATGCTGTTTGAACATAAGCAGAAAACAGCCCGTAATATAACGGCAGTCGTATGAGGTTTCTTTAGCGACATCAATGCCAAGGTGGCTGAAGTAGTCTCCCAACAAACCTTTTAGGACCTTTGCGGACGTATATCTCAGGCACCAGGGAGTTTTGAGTATTAAAATGGGCATGGCTGTGAACTGCATCAAAAGGTCCTCAACATGGCTATTTCAGTTGAGATCCCTATAGGAAAGTGGAACATTCCCTTTAAGCTTCAACTAACTTAGATGACTTGTTGTAAGATGGCAATTTTGTGGGTTGCTTTCATTTTCGCAATTTTTGGTTCTCCTGGTTTTTCCCCGAGGAGTAAGGCTATTACTACTATCTTGATTAGGTTCGGTTAGGCCAAGTTAGGCCAGGTTAGGTTAGGTTAGGATAGGTTGGGTTAGGTTAGGTTAAGTTAGGTTAAGTTAGGTTAGGTTAGGTTAGGTTAGGTTAGGTTAGGTTAGGTTAGGTTAGGTTAGGTTAGGTTAGGTTAGGTTAGGTTAGGTTAGGTTAAGTTTGGTTAGGTTAGGTTAGATTGGTTTAGGTGCGTTTCGTCACGTTATGTTAGTTCGGTTAGATCGCTACGTCGTATCGAGTCGTAGGCTTACGCCGAGTCGTTGCCTAACATCATATGGCTTGTATGTTCACCAATAGGCTCCTCACTACTACAGTAGTCATCTTACGTCGAGTTCAAATTGGATGGCGTCTGACACTAACATAACGCTTTTGTGCCCGGATGCAGGGCTTAAAAATCTTCTCATTTACCGGATATGATCGCTGACAAAAGCTGACAGACATTTTTGCGAGCCAATTGGTAGCAACTTTGCAAAAATACAAGCAGATTTCAGTAGACCAGACAATGTTACAAGTTCCTATCCCAGCTGAACGAACCCAAAGCTCATTATTGGTCTGTGCCCGTTAACAATTGCAGCGTGAGCAGCGTGAGCCTCTCACATTACTTGTAGCACGTCAGGCTTAGCGTACTGATCGGTGCACAGACGTTAGATGAAACGCTCTTATGTTCATGACATTGCATATAAAGATGAATGAAGGTGGCGGAGGTGTTAAAAAATGTCGTTCGCACCAATTGACACCAATTTTACACGGGTTTTGGTCTAAATGATTCGGATCATTTTATGAAGTTTGAATTCTGCACCGGTAGTGCTTAAACGAAGATAAGGTAGGTTGCCTGCGTGCTGAGTTGATTGCTGGATGACGTCACAAACCAAGGGTGATATTGTTGTTAGGTGCTTGTAGAACCAAACTGTCGGTAAATGCAGAGCTGCAGGGATGAATTTTTGCAAAATACGTGGGGATGAAGGACGGAGGATGGGGGAGGCACAAGACAAAAGTGCTCAGCATGCTTCCAAAAATACACTGAAAACAGTTTTCTCCGCACATCTCACGCGCCTTTTTCCATTCGGGATGTGGAGTGTAGTGTCTTCAAATTGCTTTTGTGGGCTAAGTCCTAAATATGATGAGGAATGAAAAACAAGGTTTCAAATGATTAATAACAAGAAGAAACAACATGCATGATCAGGAGGCACAATTCACTCCCTCCAGCTGAATAAGAAACTACACTCCTTCAAGCTGGTTATGTTCAGCATGCCTTTTTTGACAAGTGTTTTATGTAACTCTTAGCCGTCATTCAGTGCTTGAAGGCCAGCAGATTTTACGTAAGTGCAAATAAACCACCGAAACAAAAATGGTTGAGTATGCCGCATTGCATTACGTTTGTCTGTATTGTGATTTATTGCATTTAGAGTTCTATAACAATGGTTTCTGACAAATTTGGCCGCGAGCGACAATTAGACGGTTTGAAATTTGTTCGCTGACGGAAAAGGCACTTTTGTCACCTGTGCGCGTGAGAGCGATTTTCATCACCCCGGTGTGTCAATGACTCCGTCTCCCGGGCTGCTCGCTCGTGTGCTCGAGTGTCAGCTTTTTGAGATATGTAAGATGAAACTTTCGGGGCGAACATTATACAGAGTTCAACGTGAGAACATAGGCTCAACGTTTTGGTGAAGTGTCTCTCCATTGAGCGCTGAGCTAACTTTCTTGCATTGTTGAAAGCCGTTGCACACGTTATTCTAACAAATGGTTTGATAGCTTTGACATCACGGTTTTTAGGTATGGTGGATGGGGTCTGAGGTCATTTGAACGAAGAGATCGAAAGTTTACAACAGTGTCCCTTTCACTTCATTTCGACTATTTAGCAGCGTGTGACATACATCTCATTAGTGTTGATGGTTTTTGTAATCTCAAGGCATTTACCCACGCTTTCAGAGCGCCAGCCATTACATTACGTTTGTTTAGAGCTGTCAGAACATGGTTGGGAGCGAAATGCCAACCGTAATGGTGCGTTATACAACATGAACATCGGTAATCACCCAGCCTTTGATCGTATATAATGAGGTCGTCACCTGCAAGTCAAATGTTCCCGTCTACTCGCATCGAGTATTGAAGATAGGCCTAGCCAAGTACTCGGCGTCAGCTACAAGCTATGGCATGATCTCCATAGATCTTTGGTCCTGAAAGTGGAATCGAATACGTGATGAAGATGCTACCCAAATATATAAGTGACTTAATTTCTATCGGGCAACGAGTTGTTTCCACGGGTTGTATCACACGTGCCACATCATCGCTATTGCCAATGTATCAGCGGCGACGCAGTTTGAACATAAGCAGAAAACAGCCTGTAATATAACGGCAGTCGTATGAGGTTTCTTTAGCGACATCAATGCCAAGGTGGCTGAAGTAGTCTCCCAATAAACCTTTTAGGACCTTGCGGACGTATATCTCAGGCACCAGGGAGTTTTAGTCTTGAAATGGGCATGACTGGGAACTGCATCAAAAGGTCTTCAATGTGGCTATTTCAG